AGATAGATAGATAGACGGACAGACGGATAGATGGATAGACAGATAGATGGATAGATGGATAGACAGATATTATATGATATTCTTGCCTTGTTCTCGCTCTGTTCATAATCAGCAGAAAGTGGCGGTGAGCCTCTCGGCACAGATGTTCTCATAAAGACACAGCTGACACATTCAGAGATGCTGTCTAATATTTCATGTTAAAATTTCAACTCTGGAGCGGAGATAAAGGCTGCTAAATCAAGCATATTATTACCCGCTGTATTTTATTACTTCCCTTATTAATGATTTAAGAGCTGATTAGCGTGTTCCCTTTAAATGTTATAATTATTTCTGGGACAAATATCCATTCTGTTGACTAAGATTCAAGTTAAAGATGTGAAAGTTTCTTGGGTACAATTTCCTGACATTTCTGTGTAATATCCTTTTCTGCCATTTTTTAGGCCAATTCCCAATGGATAAACAGTGGTGCAAATATCCCACCTTGTTGGCAGACGCTACTGACACTAATCCACCCACTGACGTCGGCAAAATTATGGAAAAGACAATGAACTGTCAACAATGTAGTGGGGTTAAGGCAAACCCACCCGAGTTCGAACTCACCCCACTCCCTTTTCCCATCACATATCACATCGGAAAGCCATTTATTTCCAATAAAAATTAAGAAAATGTTATAAAAGTGTAAATAAAGTGTCTAACGTGTTTATCAGTTAGGGGGAAATTATGGGGGTTAGGTGTGGGAAGGCTTTATTGTCCCAATAAGATGACATCCATTTTAATAATTGTAATAAATATAATAATTTACACTCTATGTTATTATTGCATTCTGTTGATATAAAACAAATACAACACTGCAGTGCAAATATCTGCCACTATTTAGAATTATAAATAACATCCAACTTTACACGTATTGCAAATAAAATATTGCTATTTTTAGCATAGAATTTATTGCTTTTTTCACTTAGTGCACTATAAAAAAATATTGTTTGTTTAACTTAAAAAATGAAGTAAACTGGTTGCCTTAAAATTTTAATTGAAAATTCATTGAAATGGAAAAATTGAGTTAATTCAATGTAGGAGATTGATTTAATCATCAGAAACGCAAAATATTATGTTACAGCATATGAACTACATAAATTATTTAAGTTGATTTGACAAAAGAAAAAATGATTTTTTTTTTACAGTGTGTAAATAGCAGCAAAATGAAGTAAAATGGGATACAAACTGAAATACACACGAGTCTACTTTAAAGAGAGCCACTTACATGTCATTCGGCACATTAGACCTATGAAACAAACCAAAACTCTAAAGCATGAACTCATGTTGTCAAACTGTTGAGGAATCCCACTCCACTTCAAGTGACTGAGATCAAGAGGAGAAACAAACACATGTCGCAGAAGCAACTAAACCAGCAGATGTAGTGTTTTAGGAACTAACACCTCATCTTCCACATGGATATTTTGTAGATCCATCCTCATCCACAGAACAACGGCATGCACAGAAAACAAAGAGCGAAACACTGAGAGAAGTCTGGGATTTGTCTAGGGTTTCCTTCTCCTGGAGAGCAGCACAATCAGCCCAAATGAGATAAAATTGCCAAACAGTTGCAAAAATAAACATTAAATCCATCACAGACTCGAAATGAATAATCCCAGCAAGTAGATTAACCACACTGATTCCACTTAAAACGCTCTCAAAATCAGCCATAAAAGGACTGGTAATTTAATACAAACCCAAAGCCCACTAAAGCCAGTCACACACTGTGCAATTGGACCCTTTTCACAGACTGTGATAACAATCAAAGACTAAACGCCAACGACTTGAAATGTCTAAAATGTCACTGATTGGTGTGCTCTAAAACAATAGAAAAATCACACAATTCTTCTCAGATGCCAAAGACTGTGCACTGGTCTTAGCAATCATCACTCCTGTTTAATGCAGAACACAAGCCATTATAAACCTCTTTGTTGCTACAGAGTTTTAAAGCAGAGTGCGCTTAAAATACAAGTTACAATCTTTTAGATGAACGAGGAGCATTCATAGAGTGGGTTTATTGCATGTTGCTATGGATATGACAACAATAACAGATAGAAGATATTATTTAGGGCTGCAACTAACGATTATTTTGATAATCGATTAATCGGACGATTATTTTTTCGATTAATCGATTAATCGGATAAAAAAATTATTTCATTTTTTTGTTTATTATAACTAAATAAAACCCTAAAACCCTAAAAACCACACTCTTTTGTGTGTTAAACAATTTACTTAATACAGACAACTTCATTATAAAGAAAAACAACAAATAAAAAAATATATATATGACCATAACCTATGACAAAAATGCTATTGTAAACTAGATTAGTGGATAACTCAGAAAAACTTAGCCTAAAAATATCACAAGTGCACAATAATTTTATAAAATCTGAACATTTAGTGAAAAAAACATTCCTTAGTGGGAAACAAATAAGAGACAATAAGTGTAGCACTAACTCTGGTAAAACGTTGCACATTGCTCTTTGTATTGTTGTTATACATTCATGAAAAACATCGTAAAAATCAGATGCACAGCTGTTTTAAATGTAAAGCACAGCTGTTTAGTGAGGAAGCAAAATATAATAGATAGGACAGAACAAGAAAGGCTATTAATAAGCTTTTATTGCGCAAAAGTATTATGACATGATCATGAAAGAGCTGCACAAAGTGCGTATGCGCATCGCGAGCGCTGAATGATGCGCTTGACGCAACACGGAGTCACAGGGCGGCGCGCAGCTCTTTAGTGTCCGCCGCATTAAAGTTAAAAGCACCAAGGAAAGAGAAATACATATTATTATAAGAGCATGTGCTTCAGTGAAAAGAACACTTGTGGAAAGATGAAGAGGGAAATCACTCAACATGGCTATTGAAGTCACACATTTCAATCCTACCTGCATGAGTGTTCAAGATGGCCGCTAGTGAACCGACTTCCTGTGCCCGTACATTACAAACACTACATCACCCATAATGCAACAAAGCAGGGTCAAATTTGGCTGCTTTAAAGTCCTCCTGAGAATTTCCAATTTACACCTGTGAGAGATTTAGAAGTGTTGATGTTTTTCTATGCTAATCTAAAAGAGTTTCTGTTAGTTTCGGTCTGTTATTTGGGGGAGTTTACCATCATGGTGATGAGCGTAACACAAGCTTGGTTTGAGAAGAAATACATGTTAGATGTTCAATATTGCTGTACTCATTCAGCAATTGATATGCTATGCTAATGCTGTCAAAGCACTGTTACCAATCAGCGTGTTAGCATTTCGTGAATTAGCTAGTCAAAACAAGCTAGCCAAGTTTCCTCTACTAAAAATATTTAGGTTGACATCACATGATAATTTGAAGTTTAAAGAATGAATAAGCTTACTCAAATATTTCAAGTTAAGAGCATTTAAAATACAAAAAAAAATATGTGAGTTCTGCTTAGACTTTGAGTTTCTTAACTTAAGGCAAGACACGACAGGCAAAAACATCGATTTTTCATGCAGTGATCAGTTTTGAGATTTTAGGCTAGTTTACTCCTTTAGTGTTCTTTCAATCTGCTGTAAAGAAAGCGTTGAAAATACACATTAAAATGTTTATTTTATTATTTTATTAAATAATCAGTTTTCATGAGCTTGAAATATTATATTATTATTAGGCTACTAAGGGCCTGAGCATTTATTTTGTTTTTGAGCATTTTTTTCCAATAGAAATGTATTAAAATCCTTCTTAAATCTTTAAATGCCTTTTTCTCAAAATGAGTTTTTTCTCATTCTCCACACTGTAAAAAATATTGTTGGTTTAACTTAAAAAATTAAGTAACCTGGTTTCCTTACACTTTTAAGTTGATTGAAATGGAAAAAGTGAGTATTCTGAAGATATTGTCAGAGGGATTTGTTAATAAATCATTCCTGGCCTGATTTATGTGACATTTTAATAAAAAAAAAATATTGCACAAATCGATTTTTTAAGGGTATGGACAGTATATTTCAAATCCTAGGTAATGAAAGCATATATCCTGAAATCCCTCTGAACTTTTTTTTTCCATCTTGTGTGTAAACAAGTTGAAAAAAAAATTATTTTACACCTGGCTTTATCATATGTTCAAATCTATCTACTGAAAATATATGCAAAATTGCACATATTTAATGAGATATTGACTAATTTGCATAATTAAACATAGACATTTAAAAAAATTATAATTCATTATATATATATATATATATACACACACACACTTGTGTAAATAGTTTCATGGTGATATCTATTATTTAAAAATCTTCCCCTATTCACCTGTAGTGTCTCGCCTTAAAAATTGATTACCTTATATATATTTTTTTAGTTTTGCCAACTAGGTTTACAGTGCACACATGTCTATTTCTGTTTAAATGTTTATACAGGTGAAACTCATTCATTGTTCATTTTGTTCATCATCAAAAGGTGAAACTAATATATTATATAGACTCATTACATGCAATGCAAAGATATTTCAAGCCTTTATTTGATATGATTTTGATGATTATGGCTTACAGCTTATGAAAACCCCAAATTCAAAATTACACTGTGAAAAGGTTTTTATAGCTGTAAGTATAGCTCTAACTATATATATATAGTTTTTTTGAAATTGCTGTAATGTATTAATGAATTTACACTGAACAGTTCAGCTGTAATTGGAGTTACCGTGACGACTGCAGCGCATCCTCAGACAACAAAGAGAATCATTTTTGAAGCAACCATTATCTCGTCTCTGTCTCTCGTTTACTGCAGTGCTGACTGCCTGTAACAGTGTTTGTTCACAACTTTGAAAGAAACTTATGTTAGCCAAAGTTCAGGGAATGTTCCTTGTTAGCTGGGAAAATATCCTAATGTTCATGTGCGCTCATCTTTATGACTTAAAGATACTAAAAAATCCTGGCAGCTTTTTTAGTTTAGGTGGACTAAAATGAAGCCTATGTATAGGAGCAGAGGAAATAAAGTGAGCCAGATCGTACCGTACAGATGTGTTGGCGTGATCGTAACATCTGCCCTCTTCCGCTACAGGTGTGCTGGCAAACCGTCACAGTCATGACCAGAAGTCGGAGATAAAGATGACGTCTGGAAGCAGCTGAAGCTGTCAGGCTTCATGTCTCCATCCTCCCCTGAGGGAGGACAAGAAGATGAGTGTCACCAATCATCACTCCTTCAACATCCGGACCATCATCTTCCTCGTTCTGTCTACTACAGGTAAGACGGCTGTTTATAACGTCATCTGCTGATCGGAGCAAACAGAGCCATCAGAAACACTGCGAAACATCTAAAACTGAACCTAACCTTATGTGTTTCTTCAACTATTTTGATTTGTAATTTATTTTAAATTGACTTTATTCTGGGCAATTTTTAACTTTATTAGGGGAAAACTGAATATTTTTCATTTATCATTTAATTTTGGTTTGTGTAGATTTTTATAGTTTTTAAAATGTACAAATTCATAATTATGGAGAAACAGGTGAAATTAAAGGAAAAAGAAGGTTCAAGTTGAGCAAAAGTTAGGAATTATAATCAACACAATCATGCAAGCATTTACTGTGATTTAACTGAGAAAAATTACAATTTTTACACAAATTAACTTTAGTTTAAAAAACATTTAAATTAATTTCAAATTAAATAATAAATGAATAAATAAAGTCAAATTAAAGCATAAATATTTGTGTATTTACCGTTAAAAACGTAGTTTAACTTTAAGGCAGATTTAAAATGACCACACCAAAGTCAAAACCTATTTTTAAGTGATAAAAATCCACCTGTGGGACACAAAGAAATATCCTCTTATCAGATGTACCGCTCGCCCGCGGTCATTCTTTACCCAGAATCTCTGAGCGGTCCAATTTGTCTCGTCTATTGTCCATCTGTGTGTCTCACTAAGCTTCAGATGGTGAGTTTTCCCACCGCTGGGAGACTGAAGCTTCCTGCTTTCACATTGATCGGGTGGCAGGATAGTGTGAGATTAGAGGTCATAAAGCTGGATCAAATCTAAAAACCTCTTTAATTATTTAAGACGGGCGTGAGTCATTCTCCCTGCAGAGAGTTTAAAGTCTTGGACAGCATGGAGAAAATCACCATGAAGCAAACGACAATGGTGTCACGAGTCTTTAGACGCATGCTGTGGTATTATTTGGGGTCGGTAAGATTTTGTAATATTTTTGAAAGAAGTCTCCACTGCTCAGGCTGAATTTATTTAATCAAATGTACAGTAAAAACTTTTTTTTTTTTTTTAAATTTTCAATATTATTACAATTTAAAATAATTGTTTTTTGTCCGAATATATTTTAAAATGTCATTTATTTCTGTGAATTCCTGTGATTAAAACTGAATTTTCAGCATTATTACTCCAGTCTTCATTTATCAATAATTTGATGAATAGAAAGTTCAAAAGAACAGCATTTATCTGAAATAGAAAGTTTGTGTACCACTATTCTTTAAAAGTTGATTTACTGTTATTTATTTATTCATTTTTTGGAAAGGATGCATTAAATTGACCAAAAGTGACAGTAAAGACATTTAAAAATCAAATCAGCATACAGTATTTTCATGATTTCTTAAGGATCATGTGACACTGAAGACTAGAGTAATGATGCTTAAAATTCAGCATCAAATTCATATATATATATATATATATATATATATATATATATATACACACACACACACACACACACAGTCACGGTCACACACACAGTATGCAAGCAAACACGTTTTTCCCTGAAGAGAAAGATTGTAAATTAGCTGTTTATTGCTAAATCAATATTCAATGCATTTTTAGGGGATTTTAGAAGTGCATGAGCATACAAATGCCCTCAACGCTAATAGACATTCACTAAAAGTGTTCACTTTTTTGAAACTAAAGATTTTTTTGATGTGCTTTTAACATGAAGTGAAATTTAAAACAAAGTAAAAAGAAATAATAATGATGACAGCACTTTTGTTTTTGTTCATACTGTGAGGGTATTTGGTTGCCGCTGACACCTCAGACTATCACAGCTTCTCTTTGTGAGCATCGATTTGGCATCAGGGGAAAATATGAGTTCTTACCAACTTGCAACTAAACTTTAATTACTAAAACATTGTATGGAAAGGTTTATTATGCGCTACATAAAACGTTTAGGACTCTCAGGCTTTTGTGTTGTCTTCCTTCAAGGCTTAATTAAACCATGTCAAAACCCTCATAATTTGCAGCTCCGTTTAAATTATTTTTGAAGCTTTAGCTCTAGTTATTTTTCCTCTCACATTTGTCTAATTAAATCTGGTAAAGCCTGAAAGAATGGAAACTTGAACTGAAACTGAAGAACATTGTATTTTATCTACACAAGCGCAGATTCATTATAGAAACCGAATGAATCCGAGCTAATTAGGCTGAAGTGATTTAAATTCAATACAAGTGCATATGTGGTGCTGACCGGAAAGAAAAGTGCTATTTCTATAGCATGATGTCTGTGAGCTGTTGAGTCTGAGTGGTTCAGGGTGAATCGTGTCAACATGGGTTAGCGCTCAGACCTCGCTCGCTGTCACTCTCTTTTCTGAATACGGCGATGAATAATGAAGCGGAACTACGACTGTCATGTGAAAAACCCACCAACCCTCGTTGCACTTCCTTTGTGCGTGGGTCCGAATTAGTGAGAAATTATTCCAAGCACGTTTTTATGCTTCAGAAACCATTCGATTCCATTTTCATTTCTGAGAGGTCCACTAAATGTGGTGAGCCTCATTAAATCAGGGGTGAATTATAAATGAAATTCAGTAATTCACTATTTTATTAATTAAAAGACTTAGCTGAAGATCAGTGGTTTAAAAGTGAAATATGCCTGCTTTCGGCAATCCAAATCACACTGTACAACATGGATATAATAAACTTGAGTATGTAGGCCAAAGCATGTAGACTATGATAATGACACCTATTGAATCGCAGGTTAGTTAGTAGACAAAAAAAATGCTCTTCGGGAAAGAGCATTGATGCAATCGGACCCAAGTTCGAATCCGCCTTTTGCCGAACATATGAGATGTAAAATGTATAAACTATCATGAAGGTCTCTAGCGTTATATTTTGCCAATGAACTAAAATCGAAACCATGATATTGTATTTGCCTTCATAAAACAGCACAAAACTTTAAGAATAGGCATTTTGTTTTTGCTGGTAGAGAAACGTGTGCACTTTGCTCACGCGATCTTCATGGTCATGGTGTTTTCTACTAAATAGAAGCTCAAGGATTTATTTCTTGCAAGTGTAGAAATAAGGACTAAAGTATTTTAATTTTCCTATATTATAGTGTAATGTTGACTAAAATATACACTCAAAAAATGAACTAGGGAGGTTGTGCACTTTATATAATATATTTATATATAGTTTACTTATAATAATTATATTTTTTTACTTTAAATGTTATTTTTTTTTTATTAAGGTCTATGTAATTGTGTCTCAACTTAACAGTACAAAATCCTATTGTGTTGTCTAAACACAAACCATTTATGTTAAGCAAAAAAAATGTGTACATCCAGAGGGTGGCAGTGTAGTGCGAGCCGACTGCCATTTTGCCCGAACTTAATTTTATTGTGTTCAATCTGCTTAAATCTACGAACAACTTAAGTTTACTTAATCCGTTTGTGTTGGATTACATGATTGATTTGTGTTGCCTCAACTGAAACTGGGCAGTGCTTTTAGTTCCCAGCATGCTTTGCACATGGTTGAATTAAGAGAAAATAAATGTTAAAATTAAGTGTTATTTTATGTTTTTTGTTTTTAGAAATTTAGAAAAGGAGAAGACTTGATAGTGTGTAATAGTGTTTAATGTTAAATTACATTGGAAATTATTAAACCATTTAAATTACAGTGGGTTACCATTGTGGAGAAGAGTGGAGCATTTTGTTTGTCTGTCGACTGATTTCATTTTTTTCAATTGCTTTGAATGAAGGAGCATGTAAATCTTATAGCCTTCAAGATACTAATATGTGCTTCTGCTAGCAAATAGCTAGCTAAAGTCTATCAATTTAATTAAATGTCACTGAATCAAATGAAATATAAATGGATGAATGAATATAATAAAATGCCTTTGAATCATGTCAGGAAGCCTTTAAAAATTCACGTTGAGACTACTTAAATTGGGTAATTTAAAATGACACAATTCCATTATGTTAAAAAAATTAGGTTTGTTTAATGTAATCCAGTTATGTGGAACCTGTTGACAAATTAAAAGTAATTAAAGCCAACATGTTATTTTTTTGAGTGTAGGCTACTTTTGAAATATTAATTTTCATTTATATAGTATACTCCTAGATTTATAGGCTATATGGATTTTACGTCATAGGAATAATTATATAAATCATTGTTACATTATTATAATAATTGTTTGGCATCCTAAAACACCATTGGTAATGTTTGTAATGTAGACTGAGACTCTCATAATTAAAAAGATGTTTGAGCCCTCTTTATTGTCCTGGTACAAATCAATACTTTATCTTTGTTTAACGAGCAGTTCGTGGGTTGAAGCTCTTAATTTCAAAGATCACGAGACTGATGCATTTAATTTTCTACATGGCAGTTCAATTAACATTGTATTTTTAGACCATTGGTATTAAGTGGTGAAAAATACACCAGAATGCAGGAAATCACATCTACGAAATTCAAAATTTGATGGGGGAGAACATCAAATTTAATCAACATCAAATCGTAACTGCTAGTTAATTTACAATCTAACACCACATGCTAACTGTCCTGTTTATCAATGTCTTTTCGTGCAGCTCTCTCTGCTCACTTTCGAGTGTGTGAGCCTTACTTCGACCATAAGGAGCGCTACCACTTCGGCTTCCACTGTCCTCGTCTCTCGGACAACAAGACGTACATGTTCTGCTGTCACCATAACAACACAGCCTTCAAATACTGCTGCAACGAGACCGAGTTCCAGACAGTCATGCAGGTCAACCTGACCACCTCACCGGACGGATACGCTCACAAGTGAGTCTCCTGCCTTCAACTACACACACGCTGTTGAACCAGATTATTAGACATGGGAAAATGTGCATTAAGTAATAACTTATGAATCAATACTGTGATCCTGGACTTTATGATGACACTAAAAGCCTGGTTGCATCCTTGATTACAAAGTAGTTCCAGAGGTGAGCGATATCTTGAAAGAGTAGGCCTATTGTAAAAGCCGAATGAGTTTTATGGCCAGAGGTCACACCTGCTCTGTTTACTTTCTAACGCTATGAAACGCTTCCCTTCTCATCAAATATTAACTGAAAACATGAACTGCTCCCAGATCATAGCAGCCTCATATTGTCCCTCTGAGACGGTCTCATGACAGCTAATGAAGTGGAAAGGTGCAAAGGCAGGCGGCGACTTACTGAGAGGACGGATGTCCTGGTGGGAAGTCATTTCATTCTCATCTGTGGTCAGCAGGATTCAGCCAGTGATATTTACTGACGGCCTGAGGTTAAATCACCCTCACTGAGTCTCAGAAGCACAAACCAGCAGCCTTGGACATATAAGGCTTTGGCATATAGAGGCATGTCTGTTGCAGATTTGAGTTATTGTGCATCTGGCTAGTATGAAATAACACCACACCACTGTCATAACTGATAAGTGTGTGTGTGATTACGGCCCTAAATCACACCCCCCCCCCCCCCACACACACACACACACGCACGCATGATGGCAAGACTTAGTATTTTAATTCTGGGCCATAATTGCACACACATATAAACGTGATATCAAAATAAAGCTGGTATAAAAATGTGAAGCATCTTTAAGAACTAACATAACTTTACTTTGCATATTATAAGAATTAATATTATTTAGACCAATAATTTCACACCAATAGTGACACAATGGCCTGCACTGTTTGTCAACATAGAAATAAAATGTTTAATGTAGAAAAGTCTTTTATTATTATTATTATTATTATTATTATTATTATTATTATTATTAAAATATGAAATAAATTATTAAATTAATAATAATATAAAATAATGAATAATCCCAACTCGAATCATAATGGGTAAAATTCATATGTAATATAATAATATTAATCATTTTTATATAACTACTGTCAGAGAAAAAGTAAGACATTTAAATAAGATTTGTCATATAGAAAACATTTTATTATTATTAACACTGTAAAAAATATTGTTGGTTTAACCCTTGTGCTGCATTAGATTTTTAACACCGTTGAGTGCATTAAGGACCAAAAATGGCCACATATTAAACATTGCCTAAAATATTATATATTATTATTATTTTCCACTTTTACCAAGTTAAATCTTTTAACCAGCATCAGTCCTCATCATAACTACCAAAAATATATTCAATTTCAGGATTTTAACCCTTTAATTACCCGTTTTTGTTTGCGAAACCATCGATTTTTATAAGAGGAAAAACACAAAAATTCAATTATTTTCAATAAACTAAATGCAAAGAGAAAACTTTAGATTTGGATTATCACAGTCCCACTTTGCAAAAAATCCCACTTAGCGCGTTAGAGACCAAAAATGGCCACCTATTAAACATTGCCTATTGCCTAAAATAAGGTGCATTTCCACCCATAGGGAATAAATATGTAGTGACGTCATCTGGTGGAATACACTATATAATGCAAATATAATGCTTTTGCTTCAAAATGAAAGGATGTTTGTGCAAAAATCATGTTTCATGTATTACTGACAGCCTCAGATTTAAACAACGTTTTAATGGGTTTCAATGGGCCATTTTTGGTCTTTATGGTGCTGAGTGTTACTATTTGATCTACACAGTGTGTGTTATACATATTTTGCAAAATGGGATCACATTTTTTACATGTATCCAAAAAGTCACAATTTTGCCAAATTTCATACCATTTGCATTAAAACAGCCAAAATGGTCAAAGAAATTAAACTGCAAAAGACCAAAAATGTCCCTAATGCAGCATAAGGGTTAACTTAAAAAATAAAAAGTTAATTGAAATGAAAAAATTGAGTTAATACAATGAAGGAGATTGAAATAATCATCAGAAACTCAAAATATTATGTTATCTGAACTAAATAAATTATATTAAGTTGCTTTGACAAAAGAAAAAAATGTTGTGATACATGTGATTACGTAATCATGATACTTTTTTGACTCTGATTAATAATCACAACTCAAATCATAATAGCTTGATTAAATTAATATTTAATATAATAATAGTAGTATGTTGATATAAATATCGTCACAGAAAAGGTAAAATATTCAAATATTTTTCATTTAGAAAATATTACGATTATTATTAATAAAATATCAAACATTTAACATTCATAATAATCACAACTCAATAAATCATAATAGCTTAATTAATAATGTATATTTAATATAATAATATTAACATTTTATATAAATATTATTTAAATCCTGTTACTTGTTTGTTGTTTTTTAATATTTGTAGAGAAATAGTGCGGGACATTTGCATCAAATAATAGACAAGCCGATCATTTTAATAAAAACATTGCGACCCACATAGATTTTCTTCTTCATAAATCTATTTTGGCAGTAGTATGTCACCAGTTTTTTCTGGAGTTGCAACAATGAAAAAAAAAAGATATTTTCCAAACTTACTGTTTGGATCTCTTTGATTTGTTTTACATCAAATATTAAAGTGAGGGTTCAACTATCATATGTATTATTTGCTTAAAATGTTAGCCAGTAATTCTTGCCCAATCCCGTTTACTTCCCATTCCGGCGAGGTCTGATGTTGGACTCTGGGTACCAACATCAAAGAGTTCTGATATCACACACACACACTGAGATATCACACACACATCTGTTCCCCTAATAACACCATATATTATGAAGACCTCAAGATTGTCCCTGTCAGTTGTGGCCTTGTCTGACAGCGTAAGGCCTGTGCTTCATCAAAGTGGAAGTTCTGCTATTGCCTTTACTGTCGTTTTCTTTCAGTCTGTGCACGAGATTTACTTCAGAAGGAACTGTAAAGCACTTTATTAAAGGGATACTCCACCTTTTTTTGGAAATGGGTTCATTTTACAACTCCCCAGAGTTAAACAGTTGAGTTTTACCGTTTTCGAATCCATTCAGCCGAGTTTCTGATATTTGGAAGAATAACAGTTTCTGGTCCCATTGACTTCTTCCATAGAAGGACAAAAAATGTACTATGGAAGTCAATGGGACCAGAAACTGTCTGGTTACTGATATTCTTATAAAATATCAGAAAATCGGCTGAATGGATTCGAAAACGGTAAAACCCAACTGTTTAATTCTGAGGGAGTTGTAAAATGAGCCTATTTCCCAAAAGAGTGGAGTATCCATTTAACACTCAATGCCTATAACACTAATCAAGTTTGAATTTATTAAAGTGCTTTAACTTTTATAAGACCACTAGCGCTGCTAAAGTGTTTCCATCCATTCCTCAAGGCTTTTTGATACTGTGTATCATAAAAATGCTTGTTTATGGCCACATAAAACATTAAGTGCATCTACTTTTTTCTCTGTCGCAGCAATTACTCCGCTTTAATCGGCGTGTGGATCTATGGATTCTTCGTAATGGTGCTGCTGGCAATTGATTTCCTGTATTACTCGGCCATGAACTATGAGGTGTGCCGGGTGTATCTGGAGAAGTGTGGGCTGGGGGGCCGCTGGCTGAAACAGGCCCGCACTCAGTGGCACGGGGACGGACAGACAGCTCAACCCGCAGCTCCAACACAACCTCAAGAGACACATCAACACGGCTGCAGTCAGGCCAGACACAGCCTGACGGGAGACACGTCGAGTCCAACACAAACCACGCACAACACGACGACGGCCTGGTGAGTGAAACACACCGCAGCTTAAAGGAGCACTTTTTCTTCAGTCGAAAAGAAATTAAGGCTTTTGATGAAAATATTCCAGGATTTTTCTCCATATAATGGACCCCAACAGTTTCAAGGTCTAAATGATACCAGACGATGAATAAGGGTCTTATCTAGCGAAACGATCAGTCATTTCAAAAATAAATGACAAAGTTTAAGTTTTATAAGCACAAATGCTCGCCTTGCTCTGTTTTGTGATGCGCGTTCTTGACTCTCCTGTTCGAACTCGTTCATTAAAATACCGTTCATTTCAATTACTTGGGTGAGGAATAGTGCAATGCGTTTGTAAACTCAAGACTACAACGGGAGTTCAGAAACAGGGACACTGATAGGCCTATAGAGAATTACTCCCACTAAAGTGACATTGTGCTTTCTAACTTTGCAGACCTTTTTCATGCTCAAACAGCAACATTACACACTAAAGAAAGACGAAAATAGATTGGTGTGAGATTGGCAAAAATCTGAGGCTTACAATGAAAGTGAATCGAGCATTACTATTAAAATAAAATAAACATGATTTTACTGTAAAAAAAAATTGCCTACTAATCCAAACATCCCAACAACTTTGTTACAACACCATAAAGCCTAACACCCTAAAATGACTGTAAAAATGATTTAAGTTATTCAAGTAATGCACAATTTAAAGGGTTAGTTCACCCAGAAATGCAAATTCTGTCAGTATTTACTCATCCTCATGTTGTTCCAACCCCGTAAGACCTTCGTTCATCTTCAGAACACAAATTAAGATATTTTTGATGAAATCTGAGAGCTGGATCACTCCTGCATACTAGTCCATAGGCTTCTTGAGGGATTGAAACTTGCCGTCCTCTAAAAGTTATTAAAGACATCGTTAAAATAGTCCAAGTGACTACAGTGGCTCACTCTTAACTTTATCAAACGACGAGAATACTTATTGTGCGCAAAAAACAACAAAAATATTTATTTCAACTATACATTTACTTCTCTGTCTGCCTCTAGTCAGGTTACTAGTTTAACAGCGTATGATCTGTTATTGTACGTCACACGCATCACACACGACCAGCGTCGGCCAATAGTGAGCCTACGTGTGACGTAGCTCTACGCTCTCACACTACAGTATGTTAACAGACTACAGGCCCATAGAGAAGGAAGTGAATAGTTAAAATAAAGTCGTTATTTTTGTTGTTGTTTTTTTGGGCACAAAAAGTATTCTCGTCGCTTTATAAAGTTAATATTGAGCCACTGTAGTCACTTGGACTATTTTAAAGATGTGTTTAATAACTTTTTGAGGACGGAAAGTTTCAATCCCTGAAGAAGCCTGTGGACTAGTATGGAGGAGTGATCCAGCTCTCAGATTTCATCAAAAATATCTTAATTCGTGTTCCGAAGATGAACGAAGGTTGGAACAACATGAGGATGAGTAAATACTGATAGAATTTTCATTTCTGGGTGAACTAAGCCTTTAATTGTGGGTCCTATAATTTCTTTAAAACCCTTATTTCTGCTTTTAAAGAAAGACACTGCAAGTGAAGATGACATTTAAAAAAAATAACTAATGGATATCACCATACTCCCCCAGTTGGATAGTTAATCACTATTCATTAGGAAAATTCAAATATTATGTGTGCAAATGAATTATGCACTAATTTGCATGTATTTCGAGACATCTGAATATTGAATAAAGCCAGGTTCAAAATTCTTGTTTAATTTTGTTGTGATATTAAAAGTTTTTACATAAGGTATTTTAATATCACTCAAATCAGAAAATACTAGCAACAGAAAGACAAAAAAAGTCAACATGTTTTTAGGATTAAAATGCTGTAAATAAATGAAGAAAACACTCTGTAAAAACCTCTAGAATATAGGAATACATTTTCAAAAAAATGGTGTATTTAAGTGCTTCGGAAGTTGAGTTTTCTGAGAAAAACCTAATTTGAGAAAAAAGCCTTTAAATATATGTATTGCAATTGAAACCTACAGATGCAAATACACAAAGTGCAATTAAATAAACACTTAAATGTCTAGGCTTTTTTTGAATGTTTTCTTTCCACCAGTGCAACAGAAGTGTTATGGAAGCAATATAGCCCAAAATCTCAAAAAATATTGATTGATTTTGCCTGTAGTGTCTTGCCTCTCCATAAATCATATTTATTTACTTCATTTCAACCTCCTTTTTGAAAATGAGAGGCAAGTCAAAATTATTATAATGGATAGAGCTTAACTTACTCAACTTGGGAATATTCTTAAACACACTATTTCATAACCCTCACAACCTTTGCAATCCATGCTAAATTCAACAGACACAAACACACTAGTGGATTCTCCTCACACTCACGGGTGTCCTCTCAAGGGAGGCGCGTGCGGTTACTCATATTTGGCCATGAACCAGATGCATAATCATCATCCCGAGCTACAGATCCAACGCTTTAAAAATACCTTTTTTCATAATAAACCCCAGATCAGTTTGCTAGCAGAACTAGGCCACAATCGAGAATCATTTTTCTGTTGCTATAATGCTGTCCTTGATTCTGACATATCCAGGTCAAAAATGTTAAAAAGTAAACAAAAACTTCACTACAAACTCTTGAAAATAAAAAAATAAAGAGCTCCTGTCATTTTCTGTCTGGTTTATAGGAAACTTACACAGTTTAATTTATTATTTGTGACAAATAAAGAGTTTTGGGTCTGAACTATTAACATTCTTATTTGCATATTCATCATGAATTATGACTTCAGTAATAGCATTTGCTGTTATTTGACATTTTAACGGTTTCCCTCAGATGCTATTCCTTGAAGTTCATCTCAAACAAGTATTCGATCGCATTAATCTCGCTAACTCTGTGAAATCCAGTGACTATTCCGTGGGTGTGCTGCTCTCTGAGGACGAGAGGGACGCACGCATTCACTATTCTCTTACAGTTCACAAGTGTGTCAGCAAGACACTGTAGCCGCGTTAGTGTGAGTGAATACCCATCTAATCAAGCCTGTCGTTGGTGCCGAACCCTCTCATTAACAATCACAGGAGTCTCAGAAAGCTTCAACCTCCAAGCGGAGACTTTGAATCTCTGCCGCAAGACAGACGAGGGAGACTGACACTGAGATTTCATGTGTGAGATTTACAGCAGGCACAACTCCAATAATCTTTGAGTTTAACCTATCATGACATCTGACACAAAGCAAGTCACTTCAATTCTATTTATGCAGTTGTGCTGGCCCCGCCCACAGTGAAAATGTCACATGTGGGCTCAGAGTTGGATGGTGGACATCCTTAATGCCCCTTCCCCAAAAGTATTGTGGGAAATTACTGAATTGGGTCGAGAGGAGAACAGAAAAAAAGAAAAAGACTTTGGTCCCTGACCAAAATAGAACTAAGTGAATTCAATTACTGCTCACGGTCTATTCATGAAGCCATTTATATGGGTCAGCTCTGCCCGTTTACTGTGTTTGTTTGAGGGCTACGTGCAGTTTCCCTCCTGCTGGCCTGAGAAAACACTGGCGGGGTCTTTAAATGGCATCGGATTCTTGTATTGTGTGATCTAGAGAGGGGCAGAAGCCTGGGGGACGATCTTTGCAACATCTGGTTTGACTGACGCGTCATGCATGGGAATCAGCTTTAAAAGGCTATAAACAGGACGCATTTTATTAAGAGACATTTTTTCAGTGGCCCCTTAAGACACATTGATGGTTTTAGCGATTAGATCCTGGCTGCTCAGCATGTCAGATTGATGTTTTTTTGGACGTAGTCAAACACTAGAGAAAACATTTATTAGGTTGTTCATTATTGCCTTTAGGACATTGCTGAAATCTCTTCTGAAACTCTAGATGGCACATGTGGGATTACAGGGGTCTTTTGACTTTGCTCTCAAATGTTCCTCGAGAGAAAATGTCCCCATTCACTTTCAGTTTAATCTATTTGCCGTCAATGAGAAAGAATGGAGATTTATGTGTTTAAAGTACATTTGGGAGCTGATATGTGCGTTCGTCTGCCGACTAAGACCCTGCAGTGAAATATGGTGAAATTGTTTACAGTGTTATTTTTTTACCGCAACCAGTCCAATTCCCAAGCTAATAATTCTTGTGACTTGTTTCTTTTTAATTTATCACAAACATACAGTGCAACCATTGAAGTCAGATTCCCGAGAAAATGACTCTTATGACCTGGTTGTTTTGACTGAATCACAAACATACAATGCGACCAGTGCAGTTCGACTCCTGAGTTATTTTTAGAGACAAACATTCAGTGATTTGTGAATTCAGATTGCTGAGAGATGACTCTTATGAGCCAGCTCTTTTTAGGGAATCACAAACATACACTGCAACCATTTAAGTCCGATTTCCAAGAGAATGACTCAAATGAGCCAGTTCCTTTTAGCGAATCACTAATATAGTGTGACCAGTGAAGTTCGATTCTAGAGAGAATGATTTTTATGACATGGTTCTTTTGAGTGAATCACAAACATACAGTGCAACCAGATAAGTCCAACTCCATGACTCTGTTATGACCCGGTTCTTTTGAATCACAAACATACAGCGTGACCAGTGATGTCCAATTCCAGAGAGAATGACTCTTATTACCTGACTCTTTGGAGTGAATCATAAACATACAGCGTGACCAGTGATGTCCAATTCCAGAGAGAATGACTCTTATCACCTGACTCTTTTGAGTGAATCACAAACATACAGTGTGACCAGTGAATTCCAAGACCTGAGTTGATGACTCTTGTGTGAGTTATTTATTTTGAGTGAATCACAAACATACAGCGTGACCAGTGATGTCCAATTCCAGAGAGAATGACTCGTATGACCCGACTCTTTTGAGTGAATCATAAACATACAGCGTGACCAGTGACGTCCAATTCCAGAGAAAATGACTCGTATGACCCGACTCTTTTGAGTGAATCACAAACATACAGCGTGACCATGCAGTGATGTCCAATTCCAGAGAGAATGACTCGTATGACCCATCTGTTTTGAGTGAATCACAAACATACGGCGTGACCAGTGATGTCCAATTCCAGAGAAAATGACTCGTATGACCCGACTCTTTTGAGTGAATCACAAACATACAGCGTGACCAGTGATGTCCAATTCCAGAGAGAATGACTCTTATGACCCGACTCTTTTGAGTGAATCACAAACATACAGCGTGACTAGTGATGTCCAATTCCAGAGAGAATGACTCGTATGACCCATCTGTTTTGAGTGAATCATAAACATACAGCGTGACCAGTGACGTCCAATTCCAGAGAAAATGACTCGTATGACCCGACTCTTTTGAGTGAATCACAAACATACAGCGTGACCAGTGACGTCCAATTCCAGAGAGAATGACTCGTATGACCCGACTCTTTTGAGTGAATCACAAACATACGGCGTGACCAGTGATGTCCAATTCTAGAGAGAATGACTCGTATGACCCGACTCTTTTGAGTGAATCACAAACATACGGCGTGACCAGTGATGTCCAATTCCAGAGAGAATGACTCGTATGACCCGACTCTTTTGAGTGAATCACAAACATACGGTGTGACCAGTGATGTCCAATTCCAGAATGACTCGTATGACCCGACTCTTTTGAGTGAATGACAAACATACAGCGTGACCAGTGACGTCCAATTCCAGAGAAAATGACTCGTATGACCCGACTCTTTTGAGTGAATCACAAACATACAGCGTGACCAGTGACGTCCAATTCCAGAGAGAATGACTCGTATGACCCGACTCTTTTGAGTGAATCACAAACATACGGCGTGACCAGTGATGTCCAATTCTAGAGAGAATGACTCGTATGACCCGACTCTTTTGAGTGAATCACAAACATACGGCGTGACCAGTGATGTCCAATTCCAGAGAGAATGACTCGTATGACCCGACTCTTTTGAGTGAATCACAAACATACAGCGTGACCAGTGATGTCCAATTCCAGAGAGAATGACTCGTATGACCCGACTCTTTTGAGTGAATCACAAACATACAGCGTGACCAGTGATGTCCAATTCCAGAGAGAATGACTCGTATGACCCGACTCTTTTGAGTGAATCATAAACATACAGCGTGACCAGTGACGTCCAATTCCAGAGAAAATGACTCGTATGACCCGACTCTTTTGAGTGAATCACAAACATACAGCGTGACCATGCAGTGATGTCCAATTCCAGAGAGAATGACTCGTATGACCCATCTGTTTTGAGTGAATCACAAACATACGGCGTGACCAGTGATGTCCAATTCCAGAGAAAATGACTCGTATGACCCGACTCTTTTGAGTGAATCACAAACATACAGCGTGACCAGTGATGTCCAATTCCAGAGAGAATGACTCTTATGACCCGACTCTTTTGAGTGAATCACAAACATACAGCGTGACTAGTGATGTCCAATTCCAGAGAGAATGACTCGTATGACCCGACTCTTTTGAGTGAATCACAAACATACAGCGTGACCAGTGACGTCCAATTCCAGAGAGAATGACTCGTATGACCCGACTCTTTTGAGTGAATCACAAACATACGGCGTGACCAGTGATGTCCAATTCTAGAGAGAATGACTCGTATGACCCGACTCTTTTGAGTGAATCACAAACATACGGCGTGACCAGTGATGTCCAATTCCAGAGAGAATGACTCGTATGACCCGACTCTTTTGAGTGAATCACAAACATACGGTGTGACCAGTGATGTCCAATTCCAGAATGACTCGTATGACCCGACTCTTTTGAGTGAATGACAAACATACAGCGTGACCAGTGATGTCCAATTCCAGAGGGAATGATGAATGAATCACAAACATACATTGTAATCGGTGGAGTCCGATTCCCGAGGGAGCCGGTTCTTTTAAGCGAATCACAGACATACCGTGCAACCAGTGCTGTCCAATTTCTGAGAGAAAGATACTTGTGAAAAACGAACATACACCGCAACCATGCAGTCCGGCGCTAATGATTCCTTAATGGCTCTTTTAATGAATCTCAATTCATTACAACTCCCAAACCTATTTTGAAGAGATGGTAATGTTGCGCTGTATAGAGACGGAAGTTTTGGGTTAATGTTGTGCTAATGTTAGCACAGGCTAACCTCTCAGTCTCCTGCTGCTCTGGGACTGATCTCCCAGCTTACTCTCTGCCCCGGTCTGGTCAGGGGTACATATGTCTATTTCACACCAGAGACATGGCCTGGATTTAGAGAAAGAACTCGGGAGGCAGGCAGCACATGGTGTATTATTAGAGAAGGTCTGCCAACTCACTGTCCTCTCTCTCTTGTTCTGTGGGCAGATTTCTTAAAGAGCGTGCAGTGAAACCTGCACTTGTCATGTCCATGTGCTCCAAGAGCTGAACCAAACACAGGCCACATAGTGCGACATTTCTGCTGTTCACCTCTTCAGATAGACACACACCGAGGAGGTTTGGCGAGTTACATAAAAAGACGAAACGTCTGCACATATTGCACTCAAAAATGAATTGCATTCACATTTTATTTTGCATCTTGTGCAATTTCAAATAAATTTGCCTCTAAATGTCATATAGAGCAATAAAAACACTTTACATATCAATCAGATAGACTCTTTCTCTCTAAATGGCCAGCTCTAGGTCTGATAGTCAAAGGTCTGGCTGTGTAAGGCTAAGCGTGTGTGTGTTTGTAATAAGATGATTTATAATAAAATCAAGTCCGCCTCCAGTCAGGTGGCTTGTCTATTTTGCCCAATAAATCCGGAAACACAGTCCATGGTAGCTAATTATCTGTCAGGTGGGTGAAGCAGCGACGGCTTGAGCCGAAGATCCAGCGAAACAGAAATATTGAGAAATATTATTACAATTTAACATTTTCTACGCGAATACATTTTCAAATCTAATTTATTTTATTTTCCCCTCGGTTCAAATCCTCATAGGGCTCCCTATCTGATCAGGGACATTTCTTATTATTTTCAATGTTGAAAACAGTTTTTGTTGCTGAAAAAAAAAGACAATTTTATTAAGCAAGGATCCATTAAATTGATCATACACTCTAAAAAAGGTACAAAAGCTGTCACTGGGACTATACCTTTTCAAAAGGAAAACTTTTGTCCATTTTAGGTACTATGTACATTTTAGGTGCTAGTATGTACATTTCAGGTGGTAATGTGTAAATTTTAGGTGCTAATTTGTACATTTTATGTGCTAATAAGTACATTTTAGGTGCTAATTTGTACATTTTATGTGCTAATAAGTACATTTTAGGTGCTAATAAGTACATTGTAGGTGCTAATATGTACATTTTAGGTGCTAGTACATTTCAGGTGCTAATATGTACATTTTAGGTGTTAGTATGTACATTTTAGGTGCTAATATGTACATTTCAGGTGCTAATATGTACATTTCAGGTGCTAATTTGTACATTTTAGGTGCTAATAAGTACATTTTAGGTGCTAATATGTACATTTCAGGTGGTAATATGTACATTTTAGGTGCTAATATGTACATTTCAGGTGCTAATATACATTTCAGGTGCTAATATGTGTATTTTAGGTCCTAATTTGTACATATTAGGTGCTAATAAGTACATTTTAGGTGCTAATATGTACATTCCAGGTGCTAATATGTGCATTTTAAGTGCTAATAAGTACATTTTATATGTTAATATGTACATTTCAGGTGCTAATATGTACATTTTAGGTGCTAATTTGTACATTTTAGGTGCTAGTATGTACATTTCAGGTGCTAATATGTACATTTTTGGTGTTAGTATGTACATTTTAGATGCTAATAAGTACATATTAGGTGCTAATATGTACATTTTAGGTGATAATATGTACATTTTAGGTGATAATATGTACATTTTAGGTGTTAATATGTACATTTCAGGTGCTAATCACATTTTAGGTGCTAATTTGTACATTTCAGGTGCTAATATGTACATTTCAGGTGCTAATATGTACATTTCAGGTGCTAATTTGTACATTTTAGGTGTTAATATGTACAGTTTAGGTGCTAATAAGTACATTTTAGGTGCTAATATGCAGCCTTTGAGTACAAAAGTGTACCTTTTGAAAAGGTACAGCCCCAGTGACAGCTTTTGTACCTTTTTTCTGAGAGTGACAAAGATTTTAAAAAGCTTTTGAAATTTCTATTATCAGCGATTCCAGAAAATAATAAGGACCATTATTAATTATTAGCATCAATAATAATTGAAAATAACTCAACATAATAACTCAGAGTATGAAAATGATTTCTAAAGGATCATGTGAAGACTGGGTTAGGGTTAGGGTACCCTAATCCTAACCAATCTCTCTCTCTCTCTCTCTCTCTCTCTCTCTCTCTCTCTATATATATATATATATATATAGAGAGGCTATAAAACAAAAGATTGATAGACTGTTTATTGTTTCTGGTACTTATTAAAAGGGATTTCAACATTTTCTTTTTTCTTTTTGCCTGCAATTTATTTCTAATCACTCTTTATGCTCCCTTTTCAACAGAGACCAACCAAATGTAAGGACAAACTGTTGGAATCCCCCTGTGAAGAAGTGCATTATGGGAAACGTAGTACATGCCCCTGCCACATGGACCTTTAGGTCACAGGTGCCTGACTGCCCCAAGCCTCTCCATGTGATCCAAATCTCAAAGAGCACAACTTTCAACCCCTCGACAAACCCAGAATCAGCCGGAAGTGGACAAGTGGGGGAACGAGAGATTCTGAGGTTTGTGGAAGTACAGAACCAGACTTCAGAGCGAGCTGGACTTCGACGGACACAGAACTCAGCCAGGACATCTTTGGAGGACCTATGTACCCGTTTCGTGAGCTCTTCTGGATTAAACTCTCTGTAACTGTGCGGTGTCTGTTTATTTATTCATAGTCGGGGAAAGCGATGAGTGATGAATGAAGTCGACAAACCTAATCTAAAAGATTCAAGCACTCTCATGACTCTAGAAGTTGACCTTTTGCAGTAAATATCAAAACTCACATGTCGTGGGTGGTTCTGCAGTGAAGATGTGAAATGAAATAGTACGGTGAATGTTCGTTTTTTGATTACTGTTGTGAATTGACATTTTCTCATTTGTAAGAATCAGTGAGGTAGCAAATCGTGTTAAACTGCGCTTTTTTTATTCCCCACATTTTGTTTCATGCCCTAAAGAGTTCATTATGTATGTTTGTCAGGTTGTTTTGAGATGTCTGAAGAAGTGTTTGTTCAGTGGTACTTACTCTATTGATATTGATCGGATGAGTTCATTTCACTTTAGTTTTTGAACGGACCGGTGAAATGAAAACATGATTACACACTCCTTGAACATGACAAAGCAGAGAGGCGATTCATTTTCAGAAAGGTCAGTAGAAATGATAGCTTTTGTTTGCAAGGAAGCCGTTATCAGCTTCTCATGTCTTGCTTACTCTAGACGAACATTACTGTCAGCCAATCAGATTTCAGGATTTCTCATTAACCAATCATTTCACGGCTACTTGGCTAATTGGCCAAATCTCTTTGAAATTTCAAGAGTGGCATGGTATCAGCAAGATGAAACAAGCTGTTCTGCACCAAACAGGGATTACAGCACATTTGACAGCTTCTTTTGAGCAATAAGTTTTGAATACGTCTATTTTTTGAAGTGCAAGGTACAGTTTTTGTCAGACAACAGCCCAAATACACTCGTAGAGCAGAACAGCACCTCACGGCTGTGCTTCACCATCTTTGGATTGAGGTAATTGGTGGTTCAGAAACAAGCTCAAGGTCAGATGGGATTACAGGAGGGAGACGAGATCTCTGGTTTCATCAGGTGTGAGTTTAATTATGATGTCTGTTGGCAGGAGGACAGACGGTGATTCATCACATCTATTCTAGAGCATATGAAAACTGCCGAAGATCTTTGGCCTGCACAACATCACTAGCCTAGCCTAGTCACTTACAAAGCTTGCACCCTGGAGTGTTTGTTTACAAAAAATATTTCAGCTGAGCTTTCAGCTCAGTTTGACATATTTTCCAAAACAGATTATTATTCTTAAGATTTTTTCTTTTGACACAATTAGTACAAATTCACAAAAAAAATGCTAAGGCAATGCTAAGATGTCCAGGTAATATTTCTATGGAAGCTTATTTACCACAAAATAAAAAAGGTTATTGCGACTTTTTATCTCACAATTCTGTCTTTTTTCTCACAATTGCGAGTTTACATCTTGCAAATCTGAAATTTTATCTTAGAATTGCGTGATATAAACTCACAATTGCGATAAATAAACTTTGAGTAATTACTTTTTTCTCAGAATTGCATGTCTCACACGCAATTGGGAGTTTATAACACGCAATTGGGATATATAAAGCCATAATTGCATGATGTAAAGTCGCAATTGCGTGTTATAAACTCACAATTGTGAGAAGTAAACTCGCAATTCTGGAGGGAAAAAGTCAGTCTTTACAGTATATCTCGCAATTTTGAGAAATAAAGTTATAATAGTGAGATATGAACTCGCAATTGTATAATAAAAAGTGGCAATTATCTTTTAAAATGTTTTATTCTGTAGAAGAGACGAGCTTACATACATTTCACCTCTAAAATCAAAAGGAAAAAAAATCATATTTTACATGAATAATCTGAAGTATGTTACTTTCATGAAAAAATTAAACACATTTCTTTACATTACATTTTGCTTTAAGTATAATTATTGCCATATTCTTATTTACATTATTAGAGTACAATACTAATTTGAAATAAACATACATGAAAGGTAGTAATGCTACCACAATGTTTTTACTTGAAATATTTGTAGAAATGATACAATTTTAACTAAATCTTTTGCATTAAAGTAACAATAATTAAGTAAAATTTGTGTGATTTTCATTACAATATAAAAAACAATATAAGAACTCATATAATAGTGTTAAAAATAAGCTTTGTTTTCGTTAAGCAAAATATCATTTCTTATTTTCCAATAGATTTTATTTGGCATGATTTGTGAAATTCACCCATGTTAATAAATGGCTAGAATGTGACATTTAAGAGTGCCACATCAAAATGTGTACTAATGGTAAAATTGCTAGTCACTCTGAATAATTTGACTGAACTCGAATCAGGGATCGGCGAGCAACGGGTGGGTTTTAAACAACCTGTTACCAGCTTACATCTCAACTTTCAATCACATATTGTTCTAGGAAACTAGGAAAGTCATCATTATCATAATTGGATTCTTGCCACTAAGGGAGCTTGAAGTGAATGTCGGGATTTGCTGTACGTGATTGCAACTGTCAAGTCACCGCTAGAAAAAAACACTTCTCGTACAACAAATTACCTAAAAAGTCTAATGTCATGCTCCAGTCTTTATAACATGATCACCGTTGCCTTACTGTCAATCTACACCTGTCCCGTACACCGTTTACCAGGTGGTTTGGTAAACACACACAAACACGACTCTAAATGTTTCACAAGTGGGTACTATGTACAACGTAGCATTATGTTATACTTCGTCAAATTTGTAGGACAAAGGAAAAAAATAAACTTTTAGAGTTTAAACTTTTGTTTGTGTTATTATTACCACAGTTTATCTCCAGCAGTGACTCAGACTCTTTTTTTGCCTTAGGACTGAGATGATGAGACATCAGCAGGGGGTTTCAGTCGAACATTTCTGGCGTATTCCCCCGTCAACCACAGAAATCACCCCACCAGTGCACATCATTAGCCGGCTTGGAGAGGACACAGAGGGCGAACTGGACAGGGACGAATGTTTTGTGTCTCCCAGGCCCATCTACTGATTTAATCTGAGCACTGTGGAGTTCAAGATAGGGTTTCGTCTGGTCACACGGGGTCATTACGTAGGATGCTTTTGAAGTTTTTAATGTGATCATTTCCAGACATTGTGTCCATCTGTCTGTCCAACCCACCTACACGTCTCTATTGCACTCTGCTTTCTTACCTCTCTCCGTCCTACAGATTTCATTCATTTTTATGACACTAATGCCCACGGCAATGGATAAGAAAGGCTGAAATATTGCGGTTATGAATATAAACGAAAAACAAATGGGCGTTAGGATGAAAAATGTCAGCCTCTTATACATTTCCTGCTCAAAAACAGCAATGGTAAAAAATTACCCAAGGGCAATTCGCCATTAAAACGCCATCAGAGCATCCTCGAATCCCGGTCTCTTCGCTGAGAGGAGACTCTCTTAAACCTCCCATAATGCTTTTGCCATTTAGATTAAATGGAAGTCATTCACCGTATCCAATTTGAGAGAACACACATTAAGGAAATTAAATTACGGGGGTGGATGGAGGGGTATAGTCTGGGTGAGAGATATGCCCTTTACTGTTGACATTGACAACAATAAGACTGAGTTTTAGTTTCTCTAAAGTTTAGAAATAATGTGCTTACAGCCAACTTTATCATTGGTATTTGTCCACATTCTAATGATATATAATATAATAATATATGTAATATAAAAAGATATTTAGCTATAACGAATAATCTAACGAAATTGTCTGTTCTGAGGTAAAAATGTATTGTCACGTGACATTTTGAAGCGGTTTTTAAACACCGTAAAGATCAAAACAACGGGTTTATTGACATCTTTATGTGGTTTAAAAACTGATTAGGCGATTACACGACAGTTTCAGTATAAGCTGTACCGAATATTTCAACATACCTGATGTTCATTCTTGTTCTAAAGTAGTAAAGAGGAGGAGACCACTGGTTCACGCGTGCTGCCTGCCGCTTCAACTGATGCTGGTATGTTCACACCGGACGCGATTCACCAATCTGACACGTCATTACAGAGCGCCAAAAAGAAACGAATATTGTTTGTAATTCTTAATCGAATTAACTTTTTTTTAGCTTAACTAATACTTTGTTTTATATATAAAAAAGGTTTTGCTCCCACAAACAGCTCATCAGACTCAAAATGATTTAAGTGCGTCACTCGCACACACACACACTTTATCACACCACACACAGACACACGTTGGGTTTTCAGATTTTGTTGTACAGATTTTTATACTGTACAAACTGTATATTCTATCCCCTAATTCTAAACCTACCCATTACAGAATACATCTGCATTTTTAAATCAAACAAACAAACAAACAAACAAAAAACTCTTTTTTATAAGACATTTTACTAATGGGGACCAATAAATGTCCCCAGAAGGACATGAATTTCGGATATTACCATCTTTGTGTGGACATTTTGTCCCCATAATGGGTACACCTGAACCACACAAACAAAAACACAAACACACATTCTATTTATAGTATATTGAAGAAAATAGGGACATATTTCAGAGATGTTATATGTGCCACTTTTATTTGAACACGAGCTGCAAGTCAGCAGAAAATGCTGAGCGATACATTAAGACTAATGCGCATTTGTCCAAAAGTGGGAGGAAAAAAACACGTAAAGTGGAAGAGTGAAAAGGTGAAATTAAATTGAAGCTGTCGGCATCCAAATGCAATTTCCATGATGAGATGAGTGGCCATGTTCTGCTATGAAGCCTCTTCAAATGGTTCAGAGACACTGTACAATTGCTTCTAAAGTATTCTAACACTCTGAGTGCCAAAGTAATCTGACTGTCAACTCTCCGTGCCTCTTTTTTGTAAAAGTCACAAATGTACAGTTACTTTGGTTATTAAAACATCATGGAAGGTTTTATTGAATTGAACGTTTGGGAGTGGCTAGATTATTTGTATTTGTGCCTCCTGAATAAGTGATACAGCACTTTCACAGTGGCTGGAACATCTTGGGAAACAATGTCTGTAAGAAACATGAGAAATTAGCTTATTAGTGAATGAACAACCAGGCAGATTATCACACCCTAATAGCTATTCTATTGAATAAGTACAAAAAAACAGCCTTAATATGGGTTTGAGTTACAGCAGTAGTTTAATGTAGTGGAATGTCCTTCATGAAGAAGGTAATGCCATTATATTGTGTTACATTGCAAGATGGAAGACAAAGTTGTTGAATTGTATGCATGATATCAAACAGAAAGCAGGAAAATGATGCTTCCTAAGATAGCTTAGGAAAGAACCATTTTTGGTTCCCCAAAGAACCTTTCAGGATTAAATAAACATTTTACGCTATAAAGAACATCGATCTAAGCAATTGAAAGTTTCCATAAATGCCAAAGATCCTTTATGGAACCATCAAAGCCAATAAAGAGCCTTCATTTTAAAAGCGTTGAGTGGTTTTGGGTTTTGTTTAGGATGTATACTTGACACTGGACAGCTCGCTAATTTGAATGATCTAAAAATAATTACCTTGAGGGTCAACAGACTGAACCGGAAGCCCTCGGTCTATGAGAAGATCCAATGCAAGCGTCACATTATGGAGCTGCAGGTGAATGGTAAAAAGATTAGAATCAGAAACAAACAAATAAATGTTGTAAAACCACAACACTGCAAGTTCTCTGTAACATCATTATTTTTGATTTCTGTCTTTTGCATTAGCCTCAGGTTCTTAACCAGGCTTATGCTGCTGTGCTGTCATATCCAGTCATCCTAAGAGACGTTAATTATACAATGGCGAGACACCTCCTGGAGGTGCATGTGAAGGTACGGTGATGTAAAATCCCATAAGCCTGGATTCAGTTTTTTTTTTCTTGTTGCAAATTGCAAAGGACGTCACTAACAACATGGTGCTTGTTTCAATGCAAATGCGAAACTCGAAATGTTTTCTCGAGTTCTCACCATTTCTGAGCTCCCGACTGGACAAAGGAAGAAATCGCACAGTGGAATGAAGAAGCCCTCCAACTGCCCGATCAACAAGAGCAGAATCACTCCGTCTGCAAACTAACAATATCACATTTTTAAACATAAATATAAGAAACATTAATGTGAGATGTCAAAAACAAGCCCATAAAGGGATCAAATCATAAAGGGGGGGGGGGGGCAACTGTAACATACTTTTGATTCAGAAGGAAAATGAAAATTGTTAAAGGGGTCATGACATGAGAAATCAAATTTGCCATGATCTAAGATGTCTTTGTACCATTAAAACATCCATCAAAGCATTTAATCAAGCTCCAAAAAAGCCTCATTTGTAATATTGCAGGATCTGCATTGCATATGCCTGCATCCCGAGCAAGAAATTAATGAATAGTTTTACATCATAGCACCATACGCCACTGGCTTATAGACTGATATCGTGTCACATCAAAAAGCCATTATAATCACTGATGCTGTCTACACTGGATCCAGTATACAGATGCACTGTAATCATAGTGGAAACAAATGGATGGTTTATTTAATGGCGTCCCAGATCGAATGGAGGATTATATGTTTGTTCAGAGCATTTTGTTTTGTAAATTAGGCACATTGTAATGGTTCATAAAGAAGCTTTGGTTGACAGATGAAGATCAACTGTATTGGATCTGACAGAAGCTGCATTACAAACTGTAAGTAAATGATTTCACAAATCTCTGTCTGGAAATTACGGTTTTATATGGACAATGCTTTCAAAACACTTACTCATGAGCAAAAGCGAGTGGATGTTGATACTGTTTCCTATGCAATGACATTAGCCAATCATAACAGTAATCCATGTCATGATCCCTTTAAAGGGTCAGTTCACCCAAAAATGAAAATTCTGTCAGTATTTACTCACCCTCATGTTGTTCCAACCCCGTAAGACTTTCGTTCATCTTCAGAACACGAATTAAGTTATTTTTTGATGAAATCTGAGAGCTGGATCACTCCTCCATACTAGTCCATAGGCTTCTTGAGGGATTGAAACTTGCCGGCCTCGAAAAGTTATTAAAGACATCGTTAAAATAGTCCAAGTGACTACAGTGGCTCAATCTTAACTTTATCAAGCGACGAGAATACTTTTAACGATGTCTTTAATAACTTTTCGAGGCCGGCAAGTTTCAATTCCTCAAGAAGCCTATGGACTAGTATGCAGGAGTGATCCAGCTCTCAGATTTCAGCTCTCTGAACTAACCCTTTAATATAAAACCAAATTTTCAGTGCAAAAAACAAAACAAAAAAAAAAACGGATACACTACCGTTCAAAAGTTTGGTGTTGGCAAGATTTTTAAATGTTTTTGAAAGACGTCTTTTATACTTACCAAGGCAAGGCTGCATGTATTTGAGTAAGAATCCACAAAAACTGTATTATTATGAAATAGTATTACAATTAAAAATTTTCTATTGGAATATACCTTAAAATGTAATTTATTCCTGTGACACAATTTTTTTTTACTAAGTTTTTAAGTTTCTTTACTGTAGGTATGTGACCTTGCTGAATAAAAGTACTAATTTCTTTCAAACACCAAAAATGTAATGGTAGTGTAAGTTAAAAATTAAATATAAAAAAGACAATCCCTTTAAACTGAAGTCTAGGAGAGTTGCACACCTGTTTGTCAATGTCTGTCACGCTCAGTCCCAGAGATAACATGTTCTTATTCACAAAGTGCAAAATGGCCTGTAGAGAAGAAAACTTGATGAAGCGGTGAACGATTTGGGTCATGACTACATTTAGACACGTGAGGAAACTGGATCGGAACCTTTTTCACGGTCTCAATTTTGTGAGCCTCCAGCTTGAAGAGCTCATCAATGGGACATTCCTCTGCAAAGACATTGCAAGAGAGAGATTAAGCAGCAAACGCTTTCTTCTTTATACGCCTCCGCTATCTGAAAGTTACTGATGCTTATAAATATGGAAATGAACAGGCTCAGAGTTCAGCCTCCGTTTGACTCACTGTTGGATTCTCTCTCAAGCTCTTCACTGGAATTACTGCGGAGACACACAACGCACCATGAAAACGCCGCTTTGGACATTGTCACTGAGTTTCAAAGTGATGTTAAACATGTTTAATAGGGAAGGAGGTTCTGCACAGACCTTTGAAATGTGATGAATTCGGTTTGCTTGTCTGCCTTGATGCCATTTTTCGTGACCTGGTTGACAAATGAGATTTTAATGAATGCTGACATCGAACTTTTGTAAAGTCATTTAATTCTCATGGAATATTTTTTTAGAGAAATCATGTATGTGTGGATTAGATATGGGTATTCGGCTCTTATACTATTGTTTAATATAATTAACGTGGATATAATGGATGTGCATCTTTGATTAGATGAACAGAAAACCTTTTTTTTTCCTTTACATAACTAATATTTTTTCAAACAATATTCAGTGATGAATTGCAAAAAGTTCTAAAAAAAATTGTTTATTATAATATGAATATTATCTTTTTTTCAAATAATATACAATGAAAAATTGTGAGATAGTATTAATTAGGGCTGTCAAATGATTAATCGCGATTAATCGCATCCAAAATAAAAGTTTGTGTTTAAATAATATATGTGGGTGCACTGTGTAAAATTATTTTGTATATACATATAAATTAAGAAAAAAAAATATTATTTATATATGAAATATTTATATTTACATATATAAAAATCTATATACAGTATATACATGAAAATATTTCTTAAATATATACAAGCATATGTGTGTGTTTATATATATCATATATATAATAATTATACACAGTGCACCCGCATATATTATGTACACACAAACTTTTATTTTGGATGCGATTAATCGTTTGACAGCCCTATATTAAATACATTTTAATTATAATATTTTTTTAATAACATACATTCATGAATTGTGAAAAATTATGAAAACATTGTTCATTATAATATGCACATTTGTTTAAAATAAATATTAAAATATTAAATTGATTTTAATTATAACATGCATATTCATTTTTAAAATAATATACAATGTTGCATTGTTATAATGGACAAATGTTTTCATTAGTTTTATAATTCATCACTGTATATTATAAAAAAAATGTATATGCGTATTATAATTAAAATGTATT